CCTGAAAATGGAGGTCATTTTCTTATTCTCAATTAAGGCAAACGGTATAGACTAGACACCCCAAGAAAAACCTACCCTCGAACCATATGAGAGAGATTGCCCCATTGTCGTAGGTATTTTACAAGCTGTTAAGAAAGATTAACGCTATATTGATATTTTTGTAGATTATATAAGAGAACGATTTAATAATCGACAATTCTTCCTATACACACATTCAAATGCTAAAATTTGGTATGGGATTTTTTTCTCAAGGAGCATTTTAGATTTCGTTGGCCGAAAGAATAAATATATTTTGTGTGTTTCTCCAAGAGAAAATTTATTGCACTAAAAGATCGCTAATGCACTGTTTTAAATGGTTAATAGTGAGATTTCCTCCTGTCGACTGCGGGGTGTTAAACCGGACTAGACAATTTATTGTTCGATATTTACCTACCATCCTGCCTATCCTCGCAGATTTTTGATGGTTCAACATTTCGCCATCTTCAGTGTTCCAGTGATTTTTGAGGAGTGTGTTTGATGGATAACGTCAGGGTCTTCTCGTTCTAGTCAATCGGTCTTTTTGATCTTCGGTACTTTTACTTTTTTACAGTTTAGAATTAATTATATCAAGAGATGCAATTCGGTTAGTGAACTAGTATTTCGGTTCTAAAATAGTTTACAAAAGTGGGGGTATGTTTTTCAATTAAAAGAAACACATTTTTTAAAAAGATTTTTGAATTTTTTTAAGAAGTACCGCTAAAGTCCGTGGTGATTTACGGCCTTAACCGCACACACCTGCATTATCAAGAGTCGTAAATCAACTTTTGAAAGAGTGAAGGTGAGTTACATCGAGCTCGAAGAACAAGCAATGCAAGGATTAGTTTGTTATTAAAGTCTATAATCTTCACTTTATCCTTGTGTACTCTGATTTGTGGTATGTCAACAGGCGGAGGTATTAAATTAAGTAATTTTCTTATCTCTTCATGTGTCAATTAAAGAAATAACCATTTACACTCCAGGTCACATAACGATGCAAAAGGCCTCGTCGGATATGATTCGTATTACTTATTAAATTATAAGTCTTATTTAGATTATTACTGTATTGATTCGTTACAACATAAATACAAAATATATATTAAAAAAAGGTATTAAAGGGCACAATAGTCAGGTGGACCATCAATAAGGCGATTGGTAAGAGAAAAAATATTTATGGATCGTTTATGAAGAAAAACAAAACACCAGGATGATCACAATATGGATGAAATATCGACTCCAACAACAGATTTTATTGGTAAAGATTTAAAAAGACTTTTTACAACAACATAATGCCATAAAGCATATCAATAATATTACCCACACAAAATTATAGTTTTTCTGGTTGTACATTTTAAATTAATAGAACTTAGAGAAAACAGGGAATTCACTAGAATTAATAAGTTAATTATGGTTAACGAAGGAGACACTTGTCTGGGTTAGAAGAAAGTTAGGTCTTGCCGAACAAGAAGACTCTTGAAAGGGTACATTTTGTCACCGTTTCTCTTTAGTTCAATTAGTTGCTATTTTATAGCAAGTGTGTGGTGATTAGTGACCGTTAATCGGTAATTATTCAGAAATCGTGAGATGCGGTCTGGAATGATGTAGGTTTCAGAAAATATTTTCTTTATCGTGCCAACGTTTCGACCTTTATTGAGATCATCTTCAGGGCTCAAAGTGTTTGTTTTCTGTGTAATTGTGCCATTCTTGTGTGTCGTGTTGAGATACCTACCTTCTACACATAAGACAAACACTTTGAGCCCTGAAGATGATCTCAATATAGATCGAAACGTTGACACGATAAAAAAAATGTTTTTCTGAAACCTACATCACTCCAAACCGCACCTCACGGAATAATTATTTTATAGCAACGGGGAAGGATATAAACTTTTTATGCGTAATTTGGTTTTTGTATTGTGTATGGTTGCATTAAACTACAGCAATTCAGACAATTTACAAATTAAACAGTACGGATTTTAAAACAAATTTTGCTGTATTCATCTAAATGTGTATTCGCGTTATCATGCTATGTACTCTACATAAACATTATGTCCGATACAATTAATTAAGGTTTTTAGTTGAGATGAAAAATTGTAAAGTATTAATTGGTCAAGCGGACCACGAAATTAGAGAATTTATGTCCGATGTTAATGATTTGCTTCATCAACTCTGAATAACCTAATAAATGTCAAATGTCAGTCTCCAAATTTGAATATTTTTATATATAGAAAAGTAAATTGTAAAATGAACCATATTTTAGTTCGAGGAAATGTTTGTTTTAAATATCGAAACGCAACAAAGCAAAACTTTAATAAACAAGGAAAACAAAATTGTTTATAGAACGTATAGATTGTAATGGCTTTTTAAAGTCCCATTTATTAAATATTTGTATTTAAAAAAAATTAAAAATAGTGATTTTTGTTTTGTCTCACTGCGTATTTAGGATGAAAATCCTACTTTGTACTTAAAAAATCAAGTTTGATGGAATATACGGAATAGATCAACAAGTGTAAAACAAAAAATCTTTATCTATATGTAATTAGCTTACAGATTAAAAAAAATTGAAGCCATAAAATCTTTTATTTCCTTGTAGTAACAAAGAAGGCTGGAAGGCACTTAGTCGACAGTAGCCGTCCAAATAGTAATATGGCGCAACTTGTACTTTATAGATATGGGTCCGTCCAGTTGCGTTATTACCGGTCTGGCGCCATGAGAACTGTAAAAAAAACCACAAGGGCCGCTTGCCGCTGGAGAAGTATTGCAATAGCTTCCCCCTTGATCTTTTCAAGACTTAAATTTCCCTTTAATTTCAAAGATCTACAATCAGCCAGTTAATAACCGAAAAGGAACAGGTGATACAATAACGAGAAAAAAATTGTGACTAGCCAACCTCAATTTCGTCCGAACGGCTTTTACAAACTGCCGACCTAATTATTACATATTATGTACGATTTATAATAGGTATTATAAATAGTAACGGGTTGGTTTTATTTAAGGTTGACGTCGAGAGCCTACCAGAGAAGATGGCATGAAGCCAAACCTCTGAGTAGCGAAGACAGACGGACCAGAGATGATTGAATATATTGCATTTTAACAAAGGCTTAAAACAAATCGAAAGTTTAAAACGTAAATTTGCTCACAACAACACATTTGCCATTATTAAAAAGAAAGTGAGATTTCATCTTAAGGACGGCGGAGTTATGACCAGTAAGTTCATTTTTGTTCTACCTATCGTACCAAAATAGGAAGTAACGGTAAATCAAAAGTAATCGGAAACAAACTACAAACATTATTATTACAAAATTGCTAACCTAAGGAGTACTTCAAATGCAGTAAAAACGACGAGTAAATTTTCCCAATAGCCTAATCAATGTAAATCATGTGTTGTAAAATGTTTCATATATCGTTCCTCAATTAATTTTGTACAAAACCTACTCTGCAATTACGATCATGCCTTAAAATACAGAATTCCTCGTTTAACCATGATGATTTGTTTTGTTAATATAAACCCCAGCAGTACTTAGAACTTTCAATTAATTAAGGTTTTGCCTTCTGGATGGATAGAAAATGTAACTCACGACAGCTCAAGTGGTAGAGTAGCGGCGTATCTAGCAGAAGATCTAGGGTTCGAATCCCGCACGTTTGAAACACTTGGAACGTTGAGAATTTTGAATTAAAGCATTTTATCTCTTTTTTTCACTTTCTGTCAGGTGAGATCGATATAATAGAGTTATTGGTTATTAAATGGCTTCAAATACATAATTTACCAAGTAACTGATAAATAATTTCAAAATATCTATTGTGAGGACCTCTCTGATTCCACTATAATCATCTAATAAAACGCCGTTTAACATTGGAAATATGTGACCTACGGCCTGACCCCTCTGATGATAAAAAGAGCGAGAGAAGAGCATAAATATGAAAGAATGATAGAGCAAGAGGTAGGGATAGATAGAAAGAAAGAGAGCTAGATAGATAGATGAGAGAGACAGAGAGAGAGAGAGAGAGAGAGAGAGAGAGAGAGAGAGAGAGAGAGAGGAGAAAAGTGAAACAGATGCAAATAGTGTGAGTGGTGAGGGGGATTAGGTGACAGCGAGAGGGAGGAGTGAGTGAGGGAAAGAATAAGAGAAAGAGAGAAAGATATATATATATGTATATGTAGAGAGAGAGAGAGAGAGAGGAAAAAAGTGAAACCGATGCACATAAAGTGAGTGGTGAGGGGGATTGAGTGAGAGCGAGAGGGATGAGAGAAACAGAGGGAAAGAATAAAAAAAAAGAGTGAGAGAGAGAGAGAGAGAGAGAGAGAGGGAGTCAGAGCGACAGGGAGGAGTGAGAGAGAAGGATAAATTGACAGAGAGAGTGAAAATGGGAAAAAGTGAAACAGACACAAATAGTGTGAGTGTGAGAGAAAGAAAAAGGGAGAGAGTAGGGAAAGAGCGAGTGAGAAAGAGCAAGATAAAGAGAAGGGAGAGAGGTGGGTAGGAGGGAGGTAGGGAGTGATGAAAGGAGGTAGAGAGAGAGAAAGTGAGTGAGTGAGAGAGAGAGAGAGAGAGAGAGAGAGAGAGAGAGAGAGAGAGAAAGAAAGAGAGAAAGAGGGAGAGATTTTAAAATTTTAATGAAATCTTTCTGAGTGAAAGCATGAATAACTTAAAAAACACTATATAGTACTTAATAAAATCCGCGATTTTGTCTTGCATATTTACTAAAGATTTATTAAGTCGCCCTAGTGAAGCCGAAAAAACAAGTCTGACCCGTAAAGCCCGACATCAGTGAAGACAGACAATCAATGTTTCATAAAAATTGGTCACTGATACACAGCCTGGTATTTACGTTCGACAAGTCCGTACTAGTCATTTTTGTTATCTTGTTTAGTTAAAATAAAGACAATTAACATATCTTTGACTTACCATGGTGAAATGTGTGAATGAATAATTATTTTAAAAAAACTTAATCCAATTATTTCCTTAATCCAATTGTTTACGACTTACCAGACCGTCCCCTGGGCTCCGATCCCCTTCGGTGTCAGCTTTGAATATCTTGACGGCACGGTGAACGCCGTGTTATCGAATTCCATTGTGTAAAACGTCATTTTTCCCCGCATGCACACTTTCACAGCCCTCCCATGCACTACTAGTTCTACCTTCACTTTAATTTACACATGCCAAATGACTACGTGCAGCATTATCCTGAGACAATCGCATCTTGTATCACAACAAATAAACAAGTGAGAACAAATTACAAAGATACTCTCTCTTTAAATAAATGATAAGAATCAAAAACAAAAATAAAATTCTGCTGTGCTGGACGTTCAGCAACTGAAACAAAGTAACAAAAACATATAAGAGATAAAGAGGATTTTACTAAGGCAAAAATAAAAGTAAAAACAAAACTTTTACTAAGGAAAATAAACCATAGCCAAAATTACCCCAATATAAACTCCACAAAGACAATATCTACATTAAAAGCGCAATTTCCCTTTAGCAATTTTTGTTAAAAGAAAATTGTTATCAATTTATTATCTTATGCTTCAAAAGAAAAATGTCGAGCGTATTATTAAATTATGCCTCGGACTTACCAGACAATCCCCTGCGCTCCGGATCCGATTGGCTTCAAGTTCTGATACCTCTTAAGGATGGTAAACTTGGTGTCGCCGACCTCCACGGTATAAAACATTGCGGAGAGCCGAGACGTCATTTTCCCGGTTAGGAACGGCATCCGCACCTGTAAAGAAACCCAGGAGATTAAATTTTAAACAAACAGAAGGACCCAGATCCTATAGAAAAAGCAAGATGGTTTCAATATCAGAATTATCAGTTAATCAGTTATCTCAACGTTATCCCTACAGGGAAAATTTGTAATAACTTGGTATATTTTTCAATATTCTAAAGTAAAATATTCGTCCTGCAAGCGTGTTCTTGATAAGCTTCATCGAACATGAAGTTACCAGATTGTGAAACCTTGTTTATGCTTAACTATTAAGTTTTGTATTCATTTTATATAAACAAATGAAATTCAAATTATCAACTTATGAGATGGAACCAAAGAAGAGTACTTCATTTCCCCCCAAGCAGAAGAAGTACTAATAACCCTGCTGAAGCAGATGGAAAATGAATTGATGAGAAGAAATAGTTTGATGTTGATTATGATGGATACTAGGAAGTAAGCTAGAAGGAGATTTTGTTTCACAAGCCCTGCAGCCTCATTGCACATTCCTAGTTCCTTAGGAGACTCGACCCTTCTTCTAAGAATCAGAAAGTCAATGACTGTCGTTGCTGCAATTCTATTCCCTGTGTTTTCGTTGTATCCCAGGTTATGTCTATTGAGCAGTTGCTTCGCATTCGAGGATGATATGGGAGGCTGTTTTTTTCTAATAATACTATCACTCCTCTGATTTCACCCCTCTTTAACAGTGGCAGTGCGTCTGATGTCAGACTTGGTGAGGGTTGTTTTAGCATGTTAATCTAGGATGAGTATTGGCCATTTTAAAAGGAGTCTGAAGAAGTCCTCACACTTCATATTCTTAACATCTGATTGTTGCTTAAAGGAGTTAATTCATGTTTATTCTTTGCGTTAGGTTGGTGTTCCTCAGGGGAGCATAATTGGTCCATTTCTATTCTCAATGTACACTGCAGATATTCCTACACAAGTGAAACCATCCATAAACACTCATTCAAACAACACCTGAATGAATTAACAATATAGTTCACAAAGTGGAAAATACAAATAAGCGTACATATAAATGATTATTTGGAGGACGTGAGATGCGGTCTGATGTGACGTAACGTAGATTTTAGAAAAACATGTTTTTTTTATCGTGCCAATGTTTCGATCTATATGAGATCATCTTCAGGGCCTGATGTTGTCTGCATTTCAACAAAAAAGTTGTCTGGTTGATAGCCGATCCAAGTTTCTTCTCATTGTCGGCAATGTCCTTCATAATACTCTTTGCTTGGTGTCCAACAATGAGAAGAAACTTGGATCGGCTACAAATCAGAGAACTATTTGTTGAAATGCAAACACAAGGCCCTGAAGATGATCTCAATAAAGATCGAAACGTTAGCACGATAAATTAGTTGTTTTTCTACAACCTACATCTCACGATCTCCAAATAATCATTAACTAACGGTCACTAAACACCACACATTCGTGCATTTAAATTTTACCCTGCTTAATAGTATCCGTCCTCCGGTGAGTATAAATTGCCATTGCCTACCACTGACCTTGTGCGTTATCGTGGACATTTCATGGATAAACGACTGACTTAGAATCCCCACACAAGAGTGAACAGACAAGAAACAAACCGACGTTATAAATTATTAAAAAGACTACTTGACTCACGAACAAAATCAGACACTGAAAACAAATTTTTAATTTACAAGACAATGATATAAGACCTCTCTGGGCGGTCTTATAGAGTGGGGCTCCACCAAGTATTCCAATTCCCAACGTCTACAATCAATTTAGTGTAAAATTCTCCTTCAAATTATAAATGCTCCTTTTTAAGTTTCAAATTACACTATTCATAACGACTTTCACATCCCTTTGTATATGACCTCATCAAAACCCGCTATAAAAAATTTCATTAACCTCTGAACAACCACAATAATCTACTTGTACGACACATCACTTCCAACCCTAACAGAAAATTCTTCAAGACGATTGAAGCGAAAAGTGGCACCAGGCCTTCTCATTGAGTGAAGGTACACTGGGCAAAGTCTCCTACAAGTGACTCAAATGACAAATTCAGCACATAGAAAATATTTACTTAAAACAATTATTTGTAGTTGTAAATATCAAAGAAGTAAAATTAAAAAAAATGTAATAGAATAGAAACGTATTATGCAAATACCAAAAGAAAAACTGTTGCCAGATTATTAAAACAATAAACCTGATATCTATATGTAATATTGCTCCAACCACCCATCCAACCATGCTAAACAAAATTTATTAGGGAGTTGTCAGTATTGCCAACTCAAAGTTACATCTATTGGGAAAAGGTTCCTGGAAGAAAGGCTTTACCTATTTCCACAAACTTCATCGACACTTTAGATCGGATGTATCCCTACGGGTACTCAACTTTCCGCTCCCCTTTTAAGATAAGTGTATCTTCTTGTAAATCGCGCTTTTTTCCTTCGTAAATTAAGGGAATCCGATGAAAGTTTATATCACTACAAGCCCTATCTTCAAAAATGTAAATTATGAAGAGACACAATTCTCTAAACGTTGGTGAAGTCGTCAATCATGCCGCCTTATCAATGACAACAATCAACTTACAACTAAATAGTAATTTATCTATCATTATTAATACCGAAAATAAAAATTGGTTGTTGTCATCGGGTAGGGACTATTTATTGATCGAAACATCAATATCGTGTCTATATATTATTACATATTGTGTAGTATTTAGTGACCGTTAATGAATGATTATTTAGAGATCGTGAGGTTCGGTCTTGGGTGATGTTGGTTTAGAAAAACATTTTCTTTATCCTGCCAACGTTTCGAACTTTATTGAGATCATCTTCAGGGTCTGGGATTTATACACATTGTTTAAATTATAAAAACACATGTAAGACGTGAAAATGAATATATACAACGATGTACTCAATTACTCAATATGGAAATTTTAGATTTAATTGAAGTATTTGTACTCGCTCAAAGTGTATGTTTTCTGTGTAGATGTGTCACATTTGTGTGTCGAGTTAGTGACATATTAATTTTTTTTGTTTATTTATGCTTATATATAAACAATGAATTATGTGCGGTGTTTAGTGACCGTTAATTAATGAATATTTAGATATCGTGAGGTTCGGTCTTGGGTGATGTAGGTTTAGAAAAACATTGTCTTTATCCTGCCAACGTTTCGATGTCTATTAGAAGATGATCTCTATAAAGCTTGAAACGTTGGTACGATAAACAAACTATTTTCTAAATCTATGTCACATCAGACTGAAATTCACGATCTCCGAATAATAAAGAATTATAATATTTATAATTTATATGTACACCGAAAACAAACTTTCAGTGAGTACAAATACTCTGTTTAAATCTAAAATTGCTATTATTGTGTACATTGTGTAATTTCATTTTCACATGTTAAATGTATTTGTATAATTTAAACAATAATAAATCCCAGGCCCTGCAGATGATTTCAACAAAGGTCGAAACGTTGGCACGATAAAGAAAATATTTTTCTATACCTACATCATACAACATCGCGCCTCATGACTCTAAATAATCATTACATATTATTTTTAATGTTGTTTTTAATGGCCGTTAGTTCACTATTCTTAAGTTATTTTTCAAATTTAAGAAGCATTTTGATCCTTTCACATGACGAAGTTAATATATATATTGATGTGTTCGATTTATTTACTGTACAAATAATTTATAAATAAGAAACCAGTAATTTAAAATGAAATATGTACTTAACAATTAAATCAACAATAAAAGCGTCAAATCATTCAATAATATTAACTAAGACTTAAAATTAACTTATAATTAATATTTACAAATAAGTAAGTTAATTAATGTGTATATGTATTATTGATGCTATATATTTTATAAAGCGTACTAATTTTTTCTGGGTCTTTTTGCACAGTAACATTATTATATTTCGTAGTCATATAAATATTTTCGAGAATATATATTTTGTTCTCAACAGATTCTTTTTATAGACCAATATTTTTACATTATCAAAATCACAATTATGTTTTGTTCACTAGTTTTCGTGGTACACTTGATTTTTTTTTTTTTTTGGCATTGACCTTTTGTCTTCAGCCATGTTTGTTATTATTTTTTATAATTTGTTCGTTATAAATTATTTATAAGATGCAACCTGTTCGTTTGACAAAATCGACCAGAGCCCGATAAACATCGAAGTCTTCTGTATATATTAAGAATTTATAATTATAAGGTTTTGCTATTTCGCACTGGTCTTTCTCACCGAACATAGTCTTCCTTTCTTCATCATATTTTCTGCATTCGTGAAGTTGGGTTGAGCTGGGAAGTTAGTGTCCGAGTGGATCGAAGTCACGATAGGTCAAGTAGTAGAGCAGCGGCGTATCAAGCCGAAGGTCGTGGGTTCGAATCCCGCTCTTGACACTGACTTTTTTATCTCAAGTAAAAACTTTAATTAATTGAAATTATGTTTGTATTGAGTATGTGGCCAGATAAACCTGTAGTTTTGTTGGATTTTTAATATTATATTTATGTTGTGTGATTCTATTTTTATCAAATTGTGTCGTTTTACCTACATACAATTTATCACAAGAACATGTTACCATATAAAATTTTAATTTGTTGTTTAATTTATCCGTTTTATCTTTTATTGCTTGTATAATGCCTTTCACCTTATTTTTTAGATAATTGGAAAAACAATACCCTTTATTGAAACTTTTTTTTTAAAATCTTTAATATTCGTTCAGTCAGACCAGATATATATGTATATATGCTTATGTGTTATATGTTGTTACATGTTATATGTTGTACCTCTCTATGTTTTTGCTTCTACCATACCAATCATTGTATTGACGTTGTTAAAGAATTTTTCTTTTTCTTTCCTAATAACAACATTTATAAGCTTTTCGGGGTAAATATATTTGAATAATTTAGTTTTTAAATTTTTTTTTTAAATTTTTTGTGATAGCAATAATCACTTAGGTTAAACATTCTACTTACTAAACATGACAAAACATTTATCTTTTGTTTATATGGGTGAGAAG